AAAAAAAAAAAAAAATTCTTCAGTAAATAATCAACTAATTCGATTCACTTAAACTTTTCAAACACTTCAAGCACGGGGGCCAGATTTTTATTTTGAACCTTTAAAACCTAAGCAGGCAGAAAAGGGACCCATGAACCGGCACAGAGGAGAAATGGTGAAAAACAAGGGAATGAAACAGCACTGGCACCTATCTGTCGGCAGTTCCGCTGAACCAATAGCCGCCGGTCATCAGAGAGGGCAGCAGGATGGCCGGAGCCTGCTCCCCCACACTCTAAACAATTGTAAGAATAATGGTATGACCAACGGTCCCAGAGTGTCCCCGCACTCCTTCCAGAAAGCTGGTGAAGAATAATCCACACAGCCTCGGATCCAAACACGTGGCCGGCGAGGAGTTGCGCCTGGATTTCAGAGGTTGTTGACATTAACAGACACATCCTGGCCACTTCCTACAACAGAAACCACCCCTTAGGTGGTGGATTCTGAAAGCAACCGCTACCAGAAGTCAAGGGTGAGAGTAGCGAGAGCTCATCTTAAACAGAAACATTATGTCCTTTGCCCGAGTTCTGTCACCACCGGGATTCAAAGGGCTGTCCGCCTTCAGCATCCTTGCAGTGTCTGGAACCTAAGGAGCGCAGATCACCGGCGATTCCCGTCTACAAAGCCCTTTTCCTCATCAGACCCGCTTTAGCGCCATCAGAAGCAGGTGGCCGCGCAGCGGGCCGGCCCCGCGGCCCCCCGCCCGCCTCCGGGGGCCCGGATCCCCGACGCAGGCCGCCCGCCCGGGGGGCCCGAGACGCCGCAGACACACAGGCCGCTCTTACCTTCCTACTGGCGCCTCCGAGGGACACCTTGGGCCTCGTTTTGAAATCCCCTTCAAAACTAAACATCTTTACAGCTTATCCCATCTGGGAGGAGCCCCCGACCCTGAGAGCAGCGGGGCGGGCGGGGCGGGCTCCCGCGGGGGAGGGGCCTCTTACGGGGAGGGGTCTCCGAGGGGAGGGGTCTCCCGCGGGGAGGGGTCTCCTGAGAGGAGGG